TTCCCCTTCCCCTTCCCCTTCCCCTTCCCCTTCCCCTTCCCCTTCCCCTTCCCCTTCTCCCTCCGTCCCTTCCTTCAACTTACTTCTAGCCATCATTGTTAGAAGGTCTGGAACACCAAGACCAGGGTCCCACTTCTGAAGAACTTCCAAGGTGTCTCTCATGTTAAAAGGACCATTGCAATTCTTTAAGTTACTGAAGTTGCATGTGCAAAGCTTTAATAAAGGTTCTAAAAACAAAGCAGCAGCGCTGCTTCATTTCAAGCACTCATCTGACAGTTTCAGTGAACTTCTGGAAATGCTGGAAGAAGCTTTGGCATGTGAAAAGTATGTGCTGAGCGTTTTCTTCCAGCCAATTGAACTACCTGCTAAGGTTTTAAGGCAACGCAAATGACCTTTTCGGGAGAACCGGGTCACCTCCACACTTTGATGAGGCAAGTGGTATCATTTCTAGAGCTTCAGACATCTTCCTGAGGTCGACCTTGCACAGCCCAGACTCACAGCCATATGTTCAGCCCTGCTATTTGATTCCTATTATACCAAGGATCCCTTACATACTTGGGTTGGTAGGCACACTTGAAATTCTTAGAGTATGTTATGGACTCTTTCAGATAATGGCTGCTCTGGCCATCAGAAAATACCCATGTGCCAGAGGGCAATGTATACTGTCCCAGAGAACATCTCTAGAATATATGCAGCACCCAAAAGCATACTTGAAATAAGAACAAAACAGACTGGCAGGCACAGAGGGAATTGTCCACTGACCCATTGGTGCCGATGGGCACCATATTGGGGATCCAGATACTAAAGTATGAGTATTATTAGCATTACCATTCCTCTCCAGCCACAAGTTATCCCAGAACCCAGTATAGATCAAGGCCCTGGTCGTGTCATTTAAGACTACTTTAAAACTGGGAGGGATTGTTAATAGCCCTCTTCTCACTTCAAAGAACAGGCCAGTCTTCTTCACCTATCCTGATTTATAACCAGCTTATACATTAATTGGCAGATTTTTTTTTTTATTCCTTGTTTTCCCCTAAAACGTTTGAGCTGTTAAACTGCAAACATTCCACAGGCTTGTGCTATGCTACCCCAAGGTCAGAAAGGAGATAGGTAGAAGTTCTTGATGAGGTTCCTTGGTGCTGCTATTGGTCAGATATTTCAGGTAATGGCTACTTCTCTTGCAGTAAATATTCAGTTAAAAGTCTGGCTCTTAACCCAGCAACATGGTTAAAGTTTATTCCCCCTCACACCAAGATAGTTACAGGAACTTCTATCTAATCTGCACTAAGAGAGAAACCATCTTTCTTTTAGCCATGCAAATCTGGCACACTCAGGACACAAGAACCACTAGGATTTCTGGAAGGTCTT